AGGAGTGGGGTTAAAGCCCATGGAATAATTGGAATAATTTATAGTCTAGAGTCTTAGAGAAGACTGTTGATATTTAATGCTAGGGCTAAATTATATGTGTGGGAGGTCCTTGAAAGCCAGGCAGTAAGGAATAAATGGTCTTTTTTTTTTTTTTTTTTTTACAAATAGTTTATTGTCAAATTAGTTTCCACATAACACTCAGTGCTCATCCCCACAAGTATCCTCCTCCGTGCCCATCCCTCCTCCCCCCCACATCCATCAGTCCTCAGTTTTTGTCAGCATTCAAGAGTCTCTCATGGTTTGCCTCTCTCTCTTTCCCCCACCATTTCCGCCCTTCTTCTCCCCCTTGTTCCTCTGTCAAGTTCCTCCTAATCCTCCTATACGTGCAAACATATGATATTTGTCCTTCTCTGCCTGACTTATTTCGCTCAGCATAACACGCTCAAGGTCCATCCACGTTGCTACACATGGCCAGATTTCATTGTTTCTCATTGCCATGTAGTATTCCATGGTATAGATAAACCACATCTTTTTGATCCATTCGTCCGATGATGGACACTTAGGCTCTTTCCATGTTTTAGCTATTGTGGAGAGTGCTGCTATGAACATTGGGGTACATGTGCTCCTATGCATCAGCATTTCTGTATCCCTTGGGTAAATTCCTAGCAGTGCTATTGCTGGAGTTCTATTGTTAGTTTCCTTAAGAACCTCCACACTATTTTCCAGAGAGGCTGCACCAGTTTACATTCCCACCAACAGTGCAGGAGGGTGCCCGTTTCTCCACATCCTCGCCAGCATCTAGAGTTCTCTGATTTGCTCATTTTAGCCACTCTGACTGGCGTGAGGTGGTATCTCAGTGTGGTTTTGATTTGTATTTCCCTGATGAGGAGGGATGCTGAGCATCGTTTCATGTGTCTGTTGGCCATCTGGATGTCCTCTTTGGAGAAGTGTCTGTTCATATCTTCTGCCCATTTCTTCACTGGGTTGTTTGTTTTTCGGGTGTGGAGTTTGGTGAGTTCCTTATAGATTCAGGATATCAACCCTTTATCTGATATGTCATTTGCAACTATCTTTTCCCATTCCGTTGGTTGCCTATTAGTTTTGTGGGTTGTTTCCTTTGCTGTGCAGAAGCTTTTAATCTTGATGAGGTCCCAATCGTTTATTTTTGCTCTTGATTCCCTTGCTTTTGGGGATGTGTCAAGTAAGAAGTTGCTGCGGTGGAGGTCAAGGAGGTTAAATGGTCTTATGATAGTGTTTTGAGCACTCTAGCTGCCCAGGGAGATTCAGGCAGAGTGTTTAATTATCATAATAGTCTAGTTGGTGGCAAATCAAAGTTGAAATTGATGCAATGCTAAGGGAGATAGATACGGGGTTTTGGGTATAGAGCGCATAGGATTTGTAACTGGCAATGGGAGCAGAGAGACTGAGAAATCAGGAAGAGTTGACTTAGTTTGGAAGGCTAAGGAAAAATGGAGTTATGAATGCTTGGAGAGAGAACCATTTTAAAGGAAGAAGAAGTCATGAATTTCATCTTGTGTATGTTTAAACTTCTGAAGTGATGGGATATTTTCATAGAAACAGCTAGGAACTTTTCCAGGCCATAGTGAGGTCTATGGTAAGTCCCTCTGCATATGGGCCCTCCAGCTTGTCTCTGTTTAGTCACAAGTTCCTTTTGCTACATAGATTTTAAACAGGTAGGAAAATGATATGCTCTGATTGGGCTGCATAGACTAGAGAGGGTAAGGCCAGAGGCAGGGTGACCATTTAAGAGTTGAAGCAGTACTGTGTATGATGGAGAATTGTGGCCTGGATCAAGATGGTAGCAGTGGGGCTAGAGAAATAAATGCATGAGATTCATGAGACCTCTCTTGAACAGGTACAAAGTAGAACAGATACAACTTGGGGATTGATTAAATAAGGGGAGTACAACTACAGACAACTCCAACATTTCTGGAAAGTTGGATGGGTGGAAAACTCTGGAGGAGAAGCAGGTCTGTCAGGAAGAGGTTGGAAGATTCAACTTTGGACAAATTGTATTTGCGGGTTGTTAAATGGATTTGTTGAATAGCTGGTTTGTTTCAGAGGTTCAGAGCTCAAGAGATGCTTGGAATGGAGATGTGGTTCAGCACCACAAGGAAGGTTGTGAAGCCTTGAGTGAAGTTGGTTCTTTCAGGGAAAAATGTGGAAGCACTAAAATACGGAGTCCTGGAGAATGTCACTGTGAAGTTTGGCAAGAGCAGAAGGAAGACAATCATTGGAATTGAGTTAGATCGTGAAACCCAAGGAAAGTGAGTGTTTCAAGGATATGGCAAAAAATTCCAGAGAGGACCACGTAGGTAAGGACTAAAAAATATGGCAACCTTTGTCCAAGCAGTTATGTCAAGAGTGATAAAAATAAGATTCAGGTTGGAATGGATTCCAGGGTGAATGGGAATGAAAAATCTGGGAGTATTTTCCTTTTCCCCGTATCCTTCCTCTCCTCCATACCTTCTATCCTGCAGAAGCAGGAATATAATTCATCACTTAAGAGTGACAAACGTCAGCAAACACTGAGCATCTGCTCAGCTAGTGCTTTCTTCTAGGGGAAAGACACTCACACTTACCACTAAGGAGCTTGAGAAAAGAGCAGGGAGGCACAAAGGTAAAAAAAATTAAAAAAAAAAAAATTCTGAGTGCCATGGTGGAGGTCTGTATTCCATATGGCTGATACAGCAAAAGAGGGAAGGGGAGGCTCTCCCTTGGATGAGCTCAACTCATCCAGCTCAACTCAGGGTGAGCTTGGAAAAAGGAGTGTTTTTGTTGACTGGACGAAACTGAGGGCATGTAAAGCTAAGAAATAGGGAATGGAAAATGGTGGAGTTGTGAAATAGCAAGGACACTGGAAAGAGCTTCAAATGATTAGTTAAAACCAAAGATCAGGTTCGATTGGAACATCTGAAAAGTTGTCAAGATTGCAGCAGGCCTGTATGCCCTCCAGAGGAGTTTGGCTTCTGTCCTTCAGGTTACAGTCAGCCATTGAGATGGTTCAGGGCTTTGTCATCATCAGCTGTAGTTTGCAGAGATGACGTTAGTATGCTGTGGAGTGTAGTTTGGAAGAATGTGGGGAGCACACCTGTAATCTTCAGTTACATCTTAGTGGCTCAAAGATCAAGCTGCTTCAAGGCGACACACTTAGTGTGTTATGGTCATGTGTCCAATTTGAAGATTTGTTACATGTGTAGCATATGGAGAAAATCTTTCTGATGATTAGCTTCTAGAAAAGTTTTATAAGTATCCTTTTAGAAGAGGACTTTACCATAAATGTTGGGTATGTGATTTTGTTTGGGTTGTGAGGGCTGAAAGACTATGTCAGAGATATTCATTATCCTTATATGTATGTTTATACTTATGTTTATAATTATATTTATATATATATATGTTTATATGTTTTCTTTGAATAGATGATTGAATCTCAGATTAATGAACTTTAAGTTTGATGCCAATTTTTCAGAAAAGAAAATCTGGATGTATATTTCCATCCATGTCTAGCCATTTGTGGGCAAGAAGTATATACCTGTTACATGTGTGCAAGTGTGTGTGTGCACATGCACGTGTGTGTATGAATGTTATGGGGGACATGGCCCTCTTGTCTGGGACATGTAGAATTTTTTTCCCTTTTCTGGGTATATTTGGTGATGTAAACTGGGGATTGAAAACTGGTAAGAAGTGGCCAGTTTATAAATAAATTGGATGATTGTCATTTAGTTATCCTAAAGTTTTATCTTCCCAATTCAGTTGGAATAATTTCACTAACAGTGCCTTAAGGAATAGGATGTATGGTTGAATTTTCTTTCAGAGAATTGCCTAGTTACATCAGATCCAATTAAATTTTGCATATGTTATCAGTGGCATTAAATGCAACCAAGTGTGGTGTTAAGTAAAATGAGAAAAATTATTTTAGTAAAACGTAACTTGTACTTCATATGTATTGAGCTAGTAAACATAGCATATGTAGGTCTTAAGAATATCATTTTTACTTAAAACATGAAATAATCATTTAACTTTATTTTTAATATCCTTAAATTTCCTCATTAAAGTGCTTATAAGATTATATAATAAATTTTCAGATTGTTTAAAATTTGTAAGTTCCTTGTAAATAAGTTTAAGTATTTCACTTTTGAAAACACCAGGAACTAGCAATGAGTATTTCTGTACAGGGTGACTATTTTTTTTCTATAATCAAGATTTTAAAAGTCACAAAATCAATAAACGGTACTTTCTTTTTGCTGGTAATTTTTTATTTAAAATTTATTTGAGGGCACCTGGATGGATCAGTTGGGTAAGCATCTGACTTTGGCTTAGGTCATGATTTCATAGTTTGTGACTTCAAGCCCTGCATCAGACTCTCTGCTGTCAGCTCAGAGCTTGGTTCAGATCCTCTGTCCCTAACTCTCTCCCAGCCCTTCAAAAATAAATAAACTTTAAAAAATCTATTTGAAAGGTATAATGTTCTTAGTATTGGTGGAAGTATGAATATTGCTATAATAATTTTGTGTTTTATCCTGATATCAATAAAAACCTTTTGAAAGCTTAAAAAAAGCACAGCAACCTAGGTTTTCTTAAAAACAAAGGCAAAAGTAACCAACAGCAAAACATAAAACATACAACCAAAAATAGCCCTGGATTTCTGGGTGCTTTGAGTGTTGGAAAAGAGGTTTTGGTCTCCTTTCTGTGGCTAACTGCCTCCCTTGTCCAAGTAGTTTACTGGCCTTGGGCCTTTGTTCCCTAATTTGTAAAATGTAGTTGGGATGATGAGCTGGGGTATTGAAATAGGTGGTTTATAAGTTTATTTTTCTTCTGTCTAGTGTCCAAGGGATATGACTATGTGATTGGTTTTCTTATCTCAGTTTGTCTGTGTGGAATTTGGCGTTGTTTTCTTTGTTTTTGTTTTACATGACATTATCTTAGGATACTGAGAGCAGTTATAAACCTAAAATTTTTATTTATGTTTAAAATTTTAGGTATGCAATACCCCCGGAACATGGAAAACGACTTGAAAGACTAGCTCAAGGTAAACTTGCTTTATATGTTTTTCATCTAGACAGATTCTTTGTTTTTGAGGTATCTTTACAGTGTGGAATCTCACTTTGTTAGTTTTACTCTTTTTAAGTTAATGACTTTTTAATGTTTTTCTAATTGAACAATTAAATTTTATTCACATTACTGTGTGAATATTTTTTCCTGTTGCATAGTCTTCATGATTATTTTAGTTGGCTGCTTAGTAGTTCATCAAGTAATTGCACTTAACTATTTTGGTTATTTCCAATATTTTTTTCTCTTTTATATAATTTTTAGTACAGATATACATATATGTAACTTATTTAACATTGTGCTAATAATATTTTTCCTATTTTATTATTAAAATTTTAAGTGTTTATTTATGTTAGAGAGAGGGAGAGAGAGACAGAGTGCAAAGTGTGAGCGGTGGGGGGTGGGTGAAGAGAGAGAAGGAGACACAGAATCTGAAGCAGGCTTCAGGCTTTCAGCTGTCAGCACAGAGCCTGATGTGGGGCTCGAACTCATGAACCGTGAGATACTGACCTGAGCTAAAGTTGGACACTCAGCTGACTGAGCCACCCAGGCACCCCTATTGTTTTCTTTTTTTAAGTTACTCTGTTGAGATAAATCCCAAAGAGTACTGATGCTGCATCTCAGGGTGCAGGTATTTCATGTTGTCCTATCATTTCACCAAAGGGTTGTGTTAAATCTCCTTCTGACTCCTGATTTGGCACCCTGGGTGTGGGGTTGCTCTTATGGAAGTATAAAGATAATATAACCAGATAAGCATGAGGGTATATGCTTTCTTAGACTGGCAAGTTTTTTTAATATTTATTTATTTTTATTAAAAAAATTTTATTTTATTATTATTTTTTAATGTTTAAAAAAAATTTATTTCTGAAAGAGAGAGACAGAATGAGGAGGGAAGGGTCAAAGAGAGAGAGGGAGACATAGAATCTGAAACAGGCTCCAGGCTCTGAGCTAGCTGTCAGCACAGAGCCCTGTGCGGGACTCAAACCCAGGAACCGTGAGATCATGACCTGAGTTGGATGCTTAACCAACTGAGCCACCCAGGCGCCCCAATATTTATTTATTTTTAAAAGAGAAAGAGAGAAAGAGAGAGACAGAGGCAGAGTACAAGCAGAGGAGGAGCAGAGAGAGAGAGACGCACACACAGAATCTGAAGCAGGCTCCATGCTCTGAACTTTCATCACAGAACTAGACGCGGGGCTTGAACTCACAAACCGTGAGATCATGAATTGAGCTGAAGTTGGATGCTCAATGAACTAAGCCACTTACGTGCCCCTTAGACTGGCAAATTTAAACATACCTTAGTGGAAATTGATTTTTTTTTTTTTTGTGGCTTTGTCCATCTTCATAAGGGCTAAATGAAGAACTCTATTAATGGTTTCATTGTGTACCCACTTGTATTACAGAAGGTGCCTTCCTCTTTTCTGACAGAAAAAAACCTTGCCATATCTGTTAATACGAGGGAGGAGAATCATATTCATCCCCTGTCAGCTTCATCTGTTTTCCCTTTGCAAGGAAGAAGTAGGCTGGTAGTGACTTATTTCTAGGGGAAGGTAGAGTTCCATTTGAGTGACAGCTAGCCTAAGACATTCTGCTTCTTTTATCCAGGATCGAATCCTCAGTGACCATTGTCCTTTTAGTCAGGTGCTGATCTGTTTTATTGGTGTTTTAGGTTTGCCTTCTAGTAGGAAAGGATTTTTGTTCTTACATTATGTGTGTTTTCATTTGATAATGAAATGGGGACACTGAAAACCCCTTTCATTGACTTCACAGTTTTGAACAGAAGTTGTTAATGATATCTAAAAGTTACTTTCCCCTCAAATTATAGAAGAGTATTAGAAGGAACAGTTACAGTATCACATTTGTCAGAAGCATTATTATAATTTTGGCAGGCTAATAACTATAAAGCCTTAGTATTTTTATAATGTAATACATTGTAGTAATAATAGCAATGTAATTGTAATCTTGAACTTTGTTAGGGACTATTTTCATGAATATTAAGGTGGATGAATCCTGGTTCTGGATAATAGATTAGAACACAGCTGAGAAAATGATTACCATAATCCTTAAATACACAGGCAATGAACTTTGTGCTAAATCTGTATGCTGAACAGATCTGTATGCTCTTCTCTATAATAATTATTCCACCATTTTCTCTTTGCCTCACCACCAGAGAACTTTTAAAATGGAGCCAATGTAAACTTTACAGTATAGAGTCACACACTAAAATTTCTGCTATAAATTGTCTGTGAATGCTTTGACATAAACTGTCTGAAAATGACATTCTAGGAAAGTGGGTGCCATTTGTTTAATCAGTAAGAGGTTAATAAACTTGAAGGATGAACAAGAACTTTAAATCAATTGCATGTTTATTCAAAACTGTTTTGCAAGATTATTTTGAGAAATGACACAGGGAAAAGACCCTATGAGACAGTAAAGGAATCCCATCCACTGACCAGATGCCAGCCAAATTAATTGAATTCTGCTAAATAATTAAAATGATAAAATAATGCAGTAAATGTGATGGAACATTATAGGATGTCTAGGTCAAGGCAGCACTTGATACATAAAATGAAAAGCAGCCGGGGATATTTTCCATTATCTTGTCTGCACATCATAATTATCACACTTGCCTTTTATGCATGAATGCTTTCATCTTTGGTTTCTATTGAAATCTTGATTGACTGTGGCACCTACAAATATTTTATCTGAAAGACATTAAGCCTGCATCTAATAAAGCCAGGAGTTTGATTTTGCCCTTCAGCTGCTTTCTCATTGATATAGTTTTTTTCCCCAATATTATATGTATGTAAGTATAATAAAAAAAAACCTCAAGTGAATTGTTGGAATTTTTATACTTGTTATGTTTGCCTATGATGCCATTACATTCTTTCTAATTTTTGGTTTGATACAACTGAATGGAAAATATAAAGGAGAATAGAGATATAATGTTAAATCATGAATGACAGTTTTGAACATTTTCACTTTTTAGACTGTCTAAATCTCATCTATTTTAGAAATAAGGCAATATCTTTGCTGTTCTATTGAGTTAAGCAACATATGGATTAAAGTAAGTTGGGAATGACTAAAAAATTTTGTGAAGGATTATATTCCACTAGTTTTTTATTGTGAATAAAATGCCAGTATTAAAAAAATTCAAGATGATTTACTGTGGTCAAAATTTTGGCTACTGGGAAAAGAGTATGTGAGTTAGGGCTTTGTGCGTCTGAGTTTGGAAGTATGCATGATCAGCAGGAATCTTGTTTCAGATGACAGTATAGTAGAAGTGTATAAACTGATTCTTTTACTTGTAGCAAGTATTTTAGTTGTGACTTATTAAAACAACATTTGGCAAAGAAGATGAGTCATTATTATGAAGGATTAATTTGCCTTTTAAAAACAGTTTTTAACAGTTTTTAGGGGGGGGTGTTTTAATGACTTACTAGTCTTGAATTTAAGCCTGTGGAGCAGAGAGCCTTAGCCTGATTGCAGGAGGTAGACAAGAGTCTTGTGGGTGGGATGCAGGCAGTATGTGGACTCTCTGAAATTATACTCAAAATTGGTCATTTATATGGATTTCTGGGAAGCCATCTTTAAATCCCTTCAGAGGCTTTGGCCCAAAAGATTGTTAACCTGCTGTCAGGAGACTAGAAGAGCAGCAATAAATAACAAGTCATTTTAGTTTTATGAACAGATTGTAAACTGATCTGTTCTCATACCTCTGTCTTGGAATTAGAAAAATATACTTGTATCAGCTCTCCAAATGATAAATACATTATTACCTTAAGCATGCATTTAGCTGATGATCTTGAAAATATCATATTAAAATGCCTAGTTTTGAAAGGCTAATAAATAATAATATCCCTGTTTATTTATAAGTCAATTTTAAGGGACCCTCTAAGCCATAAAAAATGAAGCAGTTAAATGATATATTCTCTGCCTTCATGCCTAACTCATGCCTTAGGCATGGAGATCATTGCGTGGTGTGTCAGGGTATGTTATTTTCATCTTTCTATCAACTGAGTTACATTAAGAATGGTGCAACAGGCCCTAACTTAATTTTCTTATGATTTGATGTCAGATATCGCTGTCCATGTTTAAATATATCTGAATATTTTATGCCCAGCTGCATTCCTAGAAGGATTTTACGTGTTGGGCAATAATAGATAACATACACCAAGCTAGCATAATTTGAATGTAGGGTGAAAGACAATTTTCTAAAAAAATGACAGCAGAGAATGGGAAGGAAGAATTCAGGAAGGGAATGTCAGCTAGCAGGGAGGAGTTACTATGGAGGAAACTTAGGAGTACTTTGATTCTGTGGGTGGAAGCTGAGTCAGGAAAATTCTGGTTAGCTTGACTGTGACCTATTTGAGCTCAAAGTTCTTGGCTTGGGGAGCCCTTGATCTATGACTGTGTGGTCCATGTGTCATTTCAAGGGGACATAAGTGGGATCTGAAACAAAGTGGTCTTAGGAATGCAATAAGAAACCATATGTAATGACCCAAATACTTGTTACATTGGGTAGAAATTTGAACTCTAAATATTCTGACAGCCAGCTTGAAATGGAAAAAACTTAACTCTTACTGTGTTCAGGAGATAAAATAAGGTGATTGTTTAGGAGAACCATCATCCTTCTCAAGACCATGATCAGTGTGAATTTCTCCTGGTGCTCCTCTGGAGTGCTCCATGGAGCTCTGTCTAGTAGTGATGTTGGTGGGTCGTGGGACACTGAGAGCGGAGTAAAGCCTGTTTTGATAGATTATGAGACATGTAGAGCTGAGTTAACCTTACAGTGTGATAATTTTCTACCCAATCTGAATTAATAACACCACAAATGGTAGCACAGAGAGGTCAACTATAGCTTAAACCTCTAACGTTGATGTTTTACGTAGGGATATGGGTAAGAATTACCAAGTTTCTCCCCAGATACTGTAGCTCATTGGATCTTTTCATTAATAAACTTGTTAAGAAATTTCATGT